ACTAATGTGAGATTCATGAACCCCAAAAGTAAGACTACAAATAGTATATCAGCCTGAATTAGGCAAATGTCCTTCCGATTACAGTTTCCCGCTGCCCATCCAGCAGTAGCCATGAATCCAGGACGACTCTCAAGCAATAGTAGAAGTGCTTTACAGTTTCCTGAAATGCAATGGAAAAATACTAGGCCTATCATGATTATAGGGATAGCTTTCCATTCACCATAAGGGTCTATGAAGCAGTGAAGATGGCAGTGAAATAACATTATAACTGTTGCAACTGACCAATGAGACCAAGTCTGATTGGCTTAGGGGTTCATTCCTCACCTACGTTAAATATCAACTTGAACTTCAGACACAGCTCTATTTTTCTTTAATACTAAATGCAAAGCTTTGCAAAAATTACTACTGGCCCATTGCAAGCTCCCCCCATAAAATTAACAAAACAGATGCTACTTCATAATCAAAAAGAGGAAAGTAAGTCAGAGACAACTTTCTGTGTTACTATTGTCCTAGAAGGAATGAAATCTATTCCATTCTTTTTGCTTCAGATTTTGTAAGATTTAAACCTACAAAAAATCATTATTTTTTCCTTGTTAGTTTGTTTTATCCATCACTACTATTTTTCAGTATTGTAACTTTTATCTGTGAATATCCAAGTCCTGCCTTGTGGAAAACTAATTACTGAACCACTGAGAGCTCCATAATGTCCTGCATTAAAGTCCTGAGCATCATACATAATGCATAGGAAGCCTTCTCTGCACTCTGATTACAGCACACTGTCATTAAGTGAGCAAATTAAAGATGTGAATAATTCACTGGCTGGGCTTATTGTCAGTGCTGCATTGTGAAATTAGAATTTCTAATAAGTACTGCAATTTTTAACCCAATTAACACAGAGAACATCTTGAGTCTGATTAGTGCAATAAAATTTATTACCTTATTCGTTGGCTGCAAAACAGCCAGGCTAAATACTGTTTTTAATTATCCAGCATTTGGAGCCTCTATTCTAAAGTCATAGGTTTTTTTTAAAAAAAAAAA